TGTCTAATGGCCAATATTGTCGCTGCATAGCAGTCAACAACACCAGCCAAGGGCTTGGGGGTCCAACGGGTTATCTCGAGCTGGTAGAACACCAAGCTTGCCCAGGCAACGTACCTCCGCGACTAAAGACCCTGACGAGTGTTGTCTGGCGGGCAGCTGGAACTGTTGGGTCCTCGCCGCCATGTACTTCAAGTTTTTGCTATTGATTGAGTCGCGTGCGAGAGAAGTCATATCCATGTGTGTCGTCTTGAAGTTCCTGCTTTCCTTCTCTCTCCTTCTTTTATTTTTTTTTTTCTCCTACTTCCTTTCCTTCTTAGGGCGTCGTTAGAGACTCCTATTGAAATCCTCGGGCAGTACGAAAGATTCCTAATGGCTCAAAAGGAAATTTGGGCCCTTCGTTCCACCTGTCCTCAAGGACGTCGCCCAAGGATATTTCCTAAGACCGATGTCAGAAAAAATAAAAGAAAAGAAAAAAAAAAACATTTGTGCGTCAGGCCTTCAGCCAATAGGGTGCCGCCACGATCTTGATTCTCGGCTGTGATGTCTATCTATCTTTGTGCCCTCTCAACTGATTGCTTGTGCACAAGGAAGAAATGGTTGGGAAAATTCCTATTGCCCGAGGAATTTCCTTACGAGCATTTTCACTTTTGTTTTGGGATTGCTTTCAGGACATTCCTTACGAGTGTTTTCATTTTTTTTCGGATTGCATCCCTGAGGATAGCACCTTTTTTTTCGGCCTTACGAGTGTTTTCACTTTTTTTTTGGATTGGTCCTTCGGGGCATCCGTTAAAATTGGAACGATATAGAGAAGATTAGCATTCCCCCTGGCATTGTGCACAAGCAATCAGTCGAAACCTCATGCAGCAGCACGTTAGTCAAAACAAGACAGGACAAGACGAAAACATAGCAATAAGGGAGAAAAGAGTACATGACACAGGTACAATCCGAGCACATGGCGCATCGTTACGAAATGAAAAGGTCATGAAACAACGGTGCATGGCGGCGCGACCCGACGCCGCGTTTCGATTAGTCGCCAACTGGTCATCGTCAGGGGTCAACTCCTGGCTACAGATGACGAAACATACTGTTGACAGTCGTATAAGTACTAGCGAATAACTATCTATTTGTTCGATACATCGCACCTAGTCAAAAATCCAACAGGAACCTACCGGTTCGGAAAACAAGAATCGAAGGACCATCGGTTGGTCGTCAAGCGAAAAAAGTCCCTAGAATTAGATCCAAATATGGTACCGAGGTAAAATGGTCCTAATCCTACCGAGTGACCCCGAAAAATCCCTTATAGCCAAGTCCAAATTCTAAACCCAAAGCAAACCAGTGATAATCCTACCAAATGACCCTGATACAGCCTATCGTCGGCCTTGTCTGCACTTACCACTTCATCAAACAAATAACCCACAGATCCCAAACCTGATTGTACCGCTTCGAAAAATTGCCCAGACACGTGTCGAAATAATCGTAAGGATAATTCAGAATCCTAAGTTCTATTTTTAACGTCAACAAGAAACAAGCCTCTGCTCCAGGCATACTGTTCATGCATTTTACTCTATGTAGAAAAAAGGTGATTACGGTCATTTTCTGCTGTCTTGAAGAGTTAGATGCATAGTCTTGGAGGCATTGAAAAATAATTCCCTCATCTAGGATACAATGTTCATTCTTATGAGTCACCGCACACAACACCTTTGAAGTACCATGAAAAACTTTGATAATGCAACCTAGATAGTTCCACACATCATCCTTATTGGTCTTCTCTAAAGTGAGTCTGTCATCATAACAATTACTAAATCGTTCTATAGCTTTGTTGGTTTGCGATCTGGAAACCATGGACCGTCTATCATACTTCGCAAATATCGAGATATCATCGATCAACCGTACACCTGTGAAAAACTTCTTCTGTGTTCCTAAAGAATCTAGAAAGCAACTCTCATTATAAACGCAAAGAAGACATGCTAATGCAAGACTGGCGGACTTGCCCATCGGTATACCTATCCTCTGCTTCAGAACTTGTCCCATACACATGGTTAAAGTATTCGAAAGGTCAAACACTACGAAACTGAGCAACTTGGAAAATCTCACGGATTTCCAGCCTTCGGGAGTACTCTTCGCATGTGTTAATCTTGCCCCTTTCCCTCTAGATTTAATTAAAACTCTGGTGTGACCACCTTCTTCATACAACGAAATCAACCATTCTAAAGCCTTAATAATAAAATCATGTGGTAAATTCGAGAACATCTCCTTTACGTCGAAACTGACACTCATAATCTCATCAAAGAATTCTAAAGATGAATTCAACTTAGTTAGTCGATGTAGAAGGTCACTAGGAGACTTAAGATTGAAATTACTGTCATTAGGAAGAGACCACAACAAACAATTGATAGCCTTAGAAGTAGTACGACTGAGACTAACAATAGGATCTGACCAAGATGGACAAATGAGCCTCCATCGTGGCACATCTTTGTGCTTTGGCATAGCATATGCTTTACCCAATTGGCATTTGTAATTCCATCGGACGTGCTTAATAATCTTATTCTGAAAGTAATCTGTCTTGATATCGTTAATGACCTGCTGTTCACTCTTGCTAATCTTTTCAAAACCTTCGTTCATTAGAAACAAGTTGTTAAGTCCATCCTGATAGACTAATGGACAACATACAAAGGAGACACCAGGATTATGGTCCACAACGCAAACTACTAACCCATCAAGCCGAATCTTCCAACCCTTCACAACGTTGCACTCAACGTCCAAATACCTATCATGATCCTTCATTTTCGAAAAGCAATGACATATATCAGCATGAGCGACAGAAAAGCACGATGTGTCATTTTGAACACCGCAAAGTGTTTGCCTAATGGTCCGTGAAAGAGTCGGAATTTGAGACTGCAGATTCGGATACGGAATATTACGGGGATTTTTAAGAAAGGAGGAGATATTAATAGAAGATAATCTACATGCTATGTGCCCTTCAGTATTAACGGTTAAAGGGGAAAGTGGTGAGGAAGAAGATGGAGTGGGAAAAGAAGGAAGAGAAAAAGGAAGAGAAAAAGGAAGAGAAAACGGTAGTGGGGAGTTTGACTGAGAAGAAGCGGTAGAAGTAGTAGGCAAAGTGTTTAGCGACGAAGTATGAGAAAAGGATGTACAGACACATTCCAGAAATGTCTTTCTAGCTGTATATCGAAAGTTCTGTAAAAAATCAGCCACTGACTTATTCTTCAGACAAACAATCTTAAAACGTCTACTTATAATGTCGCAAAGAGGTTTCCTAATTGATGAGCAACGAATAGTCAGGATGCACAATTTCCTTAATTTTCTTTTAGAAAGCCCAGCATCATACAGGATCTTAACAACAGGCTTAACTCTGATGTTAAATTTATATTTAGCCCGCAGAATTCTTACCAACACATTATGCAACGTACTTCGACTCCTTTTTCGTGAAAAGACTCGTATAGCCGAGTAATATGACAGTGTCAACAAATTGTCAAAGTCATGCTTATACCAACTCTTACGCGAAGCTGGATAAGACAGTAACGGGGTTAACTTCTTCTTTCTTTCCAAAAAGCTCAAACAGAATTGAGTCAAACTGCTAATTCTCAATTGTTTCCAGGGAACTAGCAACCCACGCACAGTTTTCAAAAAACATGTGTCAAACTCTGTTTTCACAACGGAACATTCGTACTTTCTTTTAACGAGTTTCCATTGATTGCATAGAACCGTACCCCCATTACAAGTTACTGAAAACGAAAAAAAAATTCTCTCAAATGCGTCATCAAGAATCCTTAACAAGGAAAAGGAGGAAGTACCGAAACTGGAAGCGAAGCATAACAAGGTAGAAGAACCACAACTACGACCATGTTCCAAGTTATCATGACTTTTTTTTTTCTTCCTACGTTCTTTCTTGCCAGGTCTACATCTCCGATTAGCATTGCACTTCCTACTCCCCGGATTATTGAGAAAAGGTGAAAAGGAACGAATGAAAAAACGCTCAACATCCAAAAGGTCTTGTGCTACTGGAGTTGCAATAGGTATAGCTACATAGTTCTCGATTCCACATCATCTCAACCATCGGTACAATCGATGGTTTCTCACATTAGTATTCTTCCCTTGATAACCAGATCGTTGTACATGCTCCTTCCAGCGCACATCTACAGATCTAGAACTACATCCTACGTAAGTATGCTTGTGCGAAGGTGAGATAAGAACGTAAACAACTGGACCAGGGCAACTGCGAAAGTCGTAACCAGAAGATGATAATGCAGAAATGAACGGAGCGAATTTCACACCCCAAGGAATAGCAGAAGAAAGGATCAAAATAATAACTAAGCATCGAAAGAGCTGATTGAGATTGTTCAAACCCATCCCATCCTTGGATGCCCTTAACTTATGCACGTCAGAGAGTAGAGAGAAAATACGACCAGCGCTCGGGACCGATCCTACGAAGTTTCCGGATCAGCAGGTGCGTCCGTGGAGGTGCCTGCAACATCGGTGGATGCTTCATCATCAGGTTCATCTTCTGCATTACCATCTTCCCGCTTCATCCAAGGTCGTTGCAGACTCTCTTGAAGAACGTATCACGTTCCTCTCCGACTTTTCGCACAAAAGTTATCTTCAGCTGATCGCCGTTCTGTGGCGGTGTACTGATACCCATCTTCCCATTTTTCCTCCGAAGCGACGCCGTCCGCTTCAAGCTGGATGGAGTTGCAATCTTGATTCTGTTAATCCTATCTTTGAGTGTTGAGACTTCCCGTTCGGCCATATCTTTCTCGTCTCATATCTTACGGTAAGCTTCAGTTAACTTCGCTCATTCAACCGGAGTCTGCGCGTAACCCTCCTGTCGAGACTTCCCTTTCGGCGGTTCAACAGGCGGACTCTTCTCCGTGACAGCTTCCGAGCCCCGCTTGTTGTTCTTTTTGAGATAATTGTCAATCTCTCCTTTCAATACTAAGAAATTGTGGACCAAAGCTTGGTTATCCGCTTTGATGGAGTCAAGTTCTCTGCTGGCCTTCCCGGACGCCATGCGCAGCAGATCGTCTTTCTCTCTCCTTAACTTCTCCAATTCATCAAGCCTTTGTTTCTCGAGCTGTGCTCTGGCTACGAATCCTCCCGCTCCATCGATCTTCTTGCTGCTTCCGTCGGGTATCCTCCTGTCTTGCTTCCTCTCCTCTAGCCACATCATCTCGTCCAGCAGTGGTATCCTGGCTAGTGCTAGCCTTCTTTCCGATAACTTCGGAGCATACATCCTTCATATTGTCACGAACCATCTTGCCGAGGGATTGCTCGAACTCTTCCCGCTCCCGTTTCGCCTTCGCTCGCTCTTCCTCCGTAGCCTGGATCTTCTTCTTCTCTTCTTCCTCTTTTTGTTTCTCCTCCTTGGCACGCCTTTCTTTGTCCTTCGTCTCCATTTCTTTTGAGTACCATCCCCATACTCGTTCTAATCGATCATCTCTCTCCTCCTCGGGATTGTCACCCCACCAGTTGTTTCTTGGTCGCTGCTGGTACCCCGTCCTATAATTGTTGCCGTACCCTTGATTGTTCTCGTAACCTTGGCCCTGTTGGCCACCGTGCGCTTGGCCCACACCTTGATAATTGTACCGACCTCCTTCGCCTTGACCTCCATTCGCGGTAGGCGGCCTATATGGCACAATAGCGTTCTGAGCCGGGAGCAATCCGTCATTGTCCTGTGGTGCTGGCGCTCTTCCCTGATCTCCTCCATTGCCGCTTAAGAGAGCAGCGGCGTTCGGGACCTGCCGAAGTGGGCAATCCCTAAGGAAATGACCGGGTTGCCTACAATGGTGGCAAACCCGAGGTCCTCCATAGTTCATGGTTGGCGAAAAACAGAGAATAGACGAAGGTGAAGGAGAATGAAGAACGAAGGAAAGGAAATACAATAAAACAGCTGGACGCAGTATGTGCGAAACGCAAAAACGCGAGGCACATAGAGCCGACTCAGTCAACGCAATCACTCAAAACGTAGTTTATACTACGGCGGTTATTGCGCGTATTGAAGCACGTAAGTGTTCAATATGACATTGTGCACAAGCAATCAGTCGGAACCTCATGCAGCAGCACGTTAGTCAAAACAAGACAGGACAAGACGAAAACATAGCAATGAGGGAGAAAAGAGTAGACGACGCAGGTACAATCCGAGCACAGGGTGCATCGTTACGAAATGAAAAGGTTATGAAACAACGATGCATGGCGGCGCGACCCGACGCCGTGTTTCGACCAGTCGCCAACTGGTCATCGTCAGGGGTCAACTCCTCGCTACAGATGACGAAACATACTGTTGACAGTCCTATAAGTACTAGTGAATAACTATCTATTCCTTCGATACATCGCACCTAGTCAAAAACCCAACAGGAACCTAGCGGTTCGGAAAACAGGAACCGAAGGACCATCGGTTGGTCGTCAAGCGAAAAAAGTCCCTAGAATCAGATCCAAAAATGGTACCAAGGCAAAATGGCCCTAATCCTACCGAGTGGCCCCAAGATATCCCTTATAGCCAAGTCCAAATTCTAAACCCTAAGCAAACCAGTGATAATCCTACCAAATGACCCTGATACGGCCTATCGTCGGCCTTGTCTGCAGTTACCTGCGCAAGGATGACACTTTTTTTTCGGATTGCATCCCCGAGGATGGATAGATAATATTCATTGATAATAGATAGTCTAGACCATCCAGGAATCTCCTTGGGAGCGTTTTCACTTTTTTTTTCGGATTGCATCCCGAGGATAGGTGGAACAAACAATTCCCTGGGGATTTCGCGTCCGGGAGGAGCGTCTAAGGAAGCACGCATCCCGAGGATAGGTGGAACGAACAATTCCCTGGGGATTTCGTGTCCCGGAGGAGTGTCTAAGGACGCCCTTTCTCTGTCGTGGGGTGCAAATGGTGTAACCTCTCCATTACTTTTGATCGTGTGGAAGGTTTGAACCCACGACCGCCTGAATGCATCTTCTGTGCCTTCCCAACTGGGCCAGGCCCGTAGGCCAGCACATCGCAGCAAGCGCGTAATAAACCTTGTAACGGCCTCGCCCAGCCACTCACCAAATGTGAAAAGGATGGTGTACAACTCCACGATTTCGGAGAAGGTACATGCTCCAGTTTGCACGTTTGGTGAGTAGAGTACGGCGGGGCCATAATATTTATTTACATATCAGCGACCGTGCCATTGGCCACCTGGCACGTGACGACCGGCTTCTGGCTAAGATCAAGAGTCGTGTCGTTCGTGTCTGATCCGTTCTGATCTTTTCTTTCTCTTTTTTGTTTTTGTTTTTCCCCCCCCTCCCAAAGCCCAAGGCTTATATCATATCAAGTGTAGTATCTGTTCTGATCGGGCCACATTTAAAAAAAATAAAAATAAAAATCCGTTGTGGATCGGATCAGACTTTCAAAAGAAGAAACCAAAAAAAAAAGAAAACGTGTTCTTCTCAGGACACTCTTGCAGTAGCACCTTTTTACTTATTTTGTGCACAGAATCTTGCCCAGATGCATACAAGAGCTGCGGGCAATGCTGTCAGATACATTTACGCTAGTGCTGCTGTGAGTACGCCCTCAATCGAGCCAGTGACGTTGGCCTCAGTCCATTTCACAAGATTCAAAATGTATACAGGACCGGTAACGATCCGAATACATTTAAACTGTTCGAGGAGCTC